TGTAGCAAATGATCAATAACATGCGACCGCACTCACACTTCGAGGCTAAATTGTTGGCAAACATCGCGTTTCTGCGCCCAGCAATGCCTAGTTTCCTACCGTCTTTCTTGTGGGTTTTAAGGCAAACGCGTCAGTTGAAATGGGATATTAAGCGAGCAACTAGAGTTTTTTGGTTTGTCATTGTTATGTACGGTGTGCTTATGCATAACGAAAGGATTTGCCTAGTCTAGTACTGGAAATACGTTTTGGATGCGTCATTGTGGCGGCGTTAACTTGATAACACAAACACAAATTATGGTCGCCTGCGAAGTCATTGCTGAAACTGTATCTCACACCTTACCCGCTGCTATTATTGCCGCTAGGATCGGGTGCCTCCCATTAAAATGAAGAATGGATACTATTTGCAGTTCAGACCGATTAGGAGCCGCTCTAAGTATCGATGTCAGATTCTAGATATCTGACATAGGCTTCTTTGTGTTTGCTATTGCTGACTAAGGCTAAGGTGCTAACGTCTAACTGACTACTTTGTGCGTTTTTTGTGTGACGTCATTTGCCGGTGCAAGCGAAGATCTCAGGCCATGCGTCTGAACTAAAAAACCGCGTTCTGGTTGCGGCTTTCGTGGTATATAGTCGCGATAAACCACCCAGTGAAAAAGTTGCCGTCCTCTTACAAAACTGCGCCTTTACGCTCACGCAGGCTGCCAAAATCATAATATTGCAGACTGCTTATTTGCATTACAGATTTCAAATGCTAATTTCAAATTATGTTAGAAGTTCTGTTCGCCCATGTCGGTGTGACGAAGCGTTAGCGCACGTACAGCTACGCCACACACACACGCAGCACCAAAACACGAATACACGCACGCACGCACGCACGCACGCACTGCACGCCACGCAAACGACACGACAACAACACGACACGACACACACAGCACACACAAACACACACACACACGACACACACACACACCAGAGAGAGAGAGAGAATGAGAGAGAGAGAGAAGAGAGATGAGAGAGGAGAGATCAGAGCAGAGAGAGAAGAGGACTGAGAACGATGACTGAGGAGCCAGAGAGAGCAGAGAGAGACAGAGAGACAGAGCAACAGCAAGACAGAGAGACAGAGCAAGAGACAAAGCAGACAGAGGGAGACAGAGAGACAGCAGAGACAGAGGAGAGCAGCAGAGCCGAGAGAGAGAGAGAGAGAAGAGAGAAGAGAGAGAGACGAGAAGAGAGAGAACTCGTGTCTCGTCGTATTTGTCGCGCGGCATGCACTAGCCGAGAATGAAATTGTAAATTCCATTAGAGTGATTAGATTAGATTTGGAAGATTTATTTATGAGTAAAAGCACTCGTAGAACCCGGTGTATTGAAGGCGAACATTAATGAAAATATGTGAAATTGTACGTGACACTTTTGCGTAGTATCGTGAAATTTATTCGCTTAAATCTGAATATGCCACTTGGCTGCAGAAGGCCATCGTTGGATGTATAGAGCGGAATTTCCTAGAATTTGTTCCGGTCTCTTTCAGATTTTCTCTCCTTCTCGATTTCTTTTCCCTATATATCAATCCCTTTCTCCCTCTCCCTTTTCCCATCTTTCCCTATCTTTCCTCTTACCCTTCCTCTTCCTCCCCCTCAACTCTTATCGTCTCCTTCTCCGCCTTTCATTTTAACTTTCCCCTCTCTCGCTCCTTCTTTCTCCCTTTCCCCTTCCCTTCTCCAAATCTATGTCTTAACCCCGCGTTCCGTCTCCTCTCTTTTCCATGCCTTCCCCCCCTTCCCCTCTCTTTCTCAGCCCTTTCTCCATCACCGTTTTAATCATCCTCCCCCCTCTTCTCCCTCTTCGCTCCCTCTCCCCCCCGTCTTCTTTCTCTCCCCTCTCCATCTTCCGTCCTTCTCCCATAGTCCTTTTCGCTTAGCCTTTTTCCCTCTCTCTCGATGCATGACCTCCTTTCTTCGCCTGTTCTTCCCATCTTCATTTTCTTCTTCCTTACTCCTTCACCTTATCCTTTCTTCTCTCTCTCTCTCTCTCTCTCTCTCTCTCTCTCTCTCTCCTCTCTCTCTCTCTCTCTCTCTCTCTCTCTTCTCTCTCCTCTCTCTCTCTCTCTCTCTATCTCTTATCTCTATCCCTGCTATCTCTAATCTCAACTTATCTCTATCTGCCCCTATCTCTATCTCTTATCTCTATCTCTATCTCTATCTCTATCTCTATCTCTATCTCTATCTCTATCTCTATCTCTATCTCTATCTCTCTTTCTCTCTCTCTCTCTCTTTCTCTCTCTCTCTCTCTCTCTCTCATGCATCTATCTCCTTCTTCCCCTCTCTTTCCCTCTCCCCTACTCCTGCCCTTATCCATTCTCCCTCTCTTTCTGCCTTTTTCTCCCCCCCCCTCCCCTCTCTCTCTCTCTTTCTCTCGTGCATCTACATTCTCCTAATTCTTCATCTCGCTGCAGGCAAGGCGCTCGACTGTCTCTACCGGATGGGCAAGGAGTACAGCGGCAACAAGAAGGACGCCGAGCGGCACATGAAGTACCTCATCAAGACCGTCGTCAAGGTCGGCGTGCTCTACCGCAACGAGCAGCTCAACGACGACGAACACCGCGCCGCCGACGCGTTCCGCACAAAGTTCCGCACGGCGTGCATGACGGCGATCAGCTTCCACGACGTCGACTACTCGTTCGATCGGCAGCACCTCGCGCGCCTCCTCGCCGACTGCGGCGCCCTCATGCAGGCGATCGTGCGGCACCACCTGACGGCGAAGTCGCTCGAGCGCGCCGCGCTCGTTTTTCGGTATTTCGGCGGCGAGGATTTTCTGGAGTCGGCGTACCGCAAGGAGAACCGCGCGCAGCTGTCGGTGCTGATCGCGTGCCTGAACAAGATGATGGACGACGGCGTGTTGTAGGTGGCGCCACCGCGTGGAGCTGACGGTGTGTTGTAGGTGGAGCCACCGCGCGCAGCTGACGGTGTGTTGTAGGTGGCGCCACCTCGCAGCTGACGGTGTGTTGTAGGTGGCGCCACCGCGCGCAGCTGTCGGCGCTGATCGCGTGCCTCAACAAGATGATGGACGACGGCGTGTTGTAGGTGGCGCCACCGCGCAACTGACGATGTGTTGTAGGTGGCGCCCCCGCGCGCAGCTGACAGTGTGTTGTAGGTGGCGCCACCGTGCGCAGCTGTCGGCGCTGATAACGTGCCTCAACAAGATGATGGACGACGGCGTGTTGTAGGTGGCGCCACCGCGCGCAGCTGACGCTGTGTTGTAGGTGGCGCCACCGCGTAGCTGACGGTGTGTTGTAGGTGGCACCACCGCGCGCAGCTGACGTCATGTTGTAGGTGGCGCCACCGCGCAGCTGACGGTGTGGTGTAGGTGGCGCCACCACACGCAGCTGTCGAGGACGTTTCAGATGCTCGCTTGTTGACAAGAGAGCATGCGACCGTATTCTTGGGATCGGCAGCCGAGCCGATAGCTATTAGGCACCATTGGCAATAGGTGGCGCTGTTGTTTCTGGCGCTGTCTATCGTCAGTTTGTGATGTCATGGCGCGTATTTCTGAGCGGTGAATCCAGGTTGGCGAAAATTCCAACAGAGGGCACTGTCGACCATATTGAACCTAGCCTAGGCTGTGCCCAGGTCAGCGTGAAGAAAGAAGATGTTTGGGATGAGAAAACGCAATGACGGTAACGCGTGGTCGTTAGATTATCACACACATGTAACTATTAAAACAAGTTTAACTATTCTAGTAACTCTTTGCTGAGGGAAGGCATGTGTGTTAATACCCACCCATACATGACAGGATGTAGATATATGCAAATTATATGTAATATATAGATACATGCACGCACACACATAATATATATATATACATGTGTGTGTGCATCTGTGCATGTGTGCATGCGTGTGTGCGTGCGTGCGTGCGTGTGTGCGCGTGCGTGCGTGAGTGTTGGTGTGTGAGAAATGTGAGATGTAAAGATTAAACAAAGCAGTGACTGTGTTATCCTGGAATGAGTGAATGCCAGAGTTAATGAGCGACCCATTGTTGGTGAATGAACGGACATGCTGAAAGAATAACCGAACAATTCTTGGTGAATGAGCGGCAGTTTAGTCGTAGAAGACGCTTGTTTATACGGTTTTTTCTAACATTGCTTTCTACTACATGTTTGTGTGATATCGGTCAGTTACGTCGGTGTGTATCTACTCTATCAACTGTGTTTCATATGAGTGGCAATATATCTTGTATGTATTTGGTGGTGCTTTGGCAGCTGCCATTGACACCTACACGTTATTATCGAGCTGTTACGGTGATTTATGTTCGTATAATATAAACATTCTTACAACAAACCGCCTTAGTATTATTTATTGTTAGTTCGTGCATGAAGGTTTATGTATTTTCTCGACGTCACTGGGGTCGCACAGAGGTCACGTGGTGGGGATATCACTGTGCGGTGTCACCAACGCAGCAACGATTAACATTGTTACTCTAGTGAACATGGTAAATATTTCTAAGAAACGCTCATGCATAGAAAGACTTGTATTGACGGCCCACGCGTGGTAAAGAGCGCGGTGTGATTAGGGTATTGAGACTTTTGTATAACCCAGTTATGATGGCATGGATCATGCCATGCGCTTCTAACGTTACGTTACTTGTTCGCGGTACTCACTTTACTTACTTACGTTACTTACTCGCGGTACTGCTAACAAACAAGGCAACTGTGTTTGTATCACGGTGTGACTGCATATATATGTGTGTGTGTGCGTGCTTCTGTATGTATATGCGGTGTGTGCGTGTGTGTACGTGTCAGTGTGCGCAAGCGAGCGTGTGTGCGCGCGCACGTGTGTGTGCATGTACAAGTGTGCGCGCGTGTGTGTGGGTGTGAAGATGTGATGTATGCTAGAAGTCGGTGTCTAATGAACACGCAGCACACCGCAGTCGCCTTTACAGGTCGTTAGATAATTTGTCACATCTAAATTGCGACATTTATGTTCGCATGCTTGCCTGCCTAGCTGTCTGTCAGTCTGTCTGGCTGCCTGCCTGCCTGCCTGCCTGCTTGTCTGCGTGTCTGCGTGTCTGTCTATCTATCTATCTATCACGCATATACAGTTCTTTTGCCCACACACGGGCGCACACACAGATACTGTCTATATAGGCATGTGCGCAGTTTCTCCGGTTTGCGATTTATTTGCTGGTTTAGATTTCTGTTTCCTCAGCTTGCGCAATCGGCAAAGAGAAGATAACCTAATGTGTGTGTGCGTGCGTGCGTGCGTGCGTGCGTGCGTGCGCGTTTGTGCTTTTGCATGAGCGCGTGTGCGTGCGTATGCGAGCGTACGTGTCTGTACTACATGACGTACGCATCTACACATTACCTTCACCCTCTTCCTGAAAGCAGAGCTACATGTGGCAAAACACTCCTACCTCCCTTCTCTGCGACAGCAGTGGGATGGGGATCTGTGTGACGGTGTATGGTGTGTTTTCCCTGGCCGCATGACATCACAACTTGCCCGTGTACTGAAACTGTGTTAGCACGGAGACGAGTAAAAAGAGGGAGAATTAATTAAAGAAACAGAGATAGAAAGAAAAAGACGGAGAGACAGCGAGAGAGAAAGAAAGAAAGTGAGAGACAGCGAGAGAGAAAGAAAGAGTGAGAGACAGCGAGAGAGAAAGAGAGAGGGAGAGCCAGCTAGAGAGAAAGAAAGAGAGGGAGAGACAGCGAGAGAGAAAGAGAGGGAGAGACAGCGAGAGAGAAAAAGAGAGGGAGAGCCAGCTAGAGAGAAATAAAGAGAGGGAGAGAAAAGGAGAGAGGTATAAGAGTGATAATACGAGACACAGCTAGCACGCTTGGTTTACAGCAGCGCATGCGCACGCTGCAGTCACTGTTTACGTGTGTAATCAGCGTGCCTGACGAAATTTTGATCCGTGATCACAGCATGAGCAAAGGTTACACAAGCCTCTCTCTTTTTCCTTCTTTCCTTCTCGTTTTCTCTCTCTCTCTCTCTCTCTCTCTCTCTCTCTCTGCCTCTCCCTCTTATACACACTCTCGCTCCTTTCTCTCTCTCTCTCTCTCTCTCTCTCTCTCTCTCTCTCTCTCTTTCTCTCTCTCTCTCTCTCTCACTCTCTCGCGTGCGGGCGCACCCGGACGCAGATCGTAATGTAAATTACTTGTTACCAGCGCGAAAGGAAACCACGAGTTCATTTTCCTTCGAGATATCACCTCTTCTAATAATGGGTGCATGATAATAATAATCATCATTATTATTATTCGACAGTGGGTGCAACCAGAATGCGCTCCGATGTAACGACAAACAGCCGATGTGAGAATGTGTAGTATTTATTTGATGCTCGATGCGTGCTTGGCTACATTCTGACGACGTGACCTCTCTCGTTCTCTACGAGTAAAGTGGGACCATCATATATATATATATATATATATATATATATATATAGCGAGTGAAAAAGGAGCGAAGGAGATTGAGAGCGAGGGAGAGGGAGGCGAGAGAGCGAGAGCGAGAGAACAAGAGAGGAGAGAGAAAGAGAGAGAGAGAGAGAGAGAGAAAGAGGTGGAGAGAAAGAGAGAGAGGGGATATACTATATATAAGCACCGGTAGCCAGCTTTCTATTCGCGGGTAGTGCGGGTTGTTTTTCGAATGTTGGCCTATTTGCTCGGCAGGGGCGTGTACAGGATTTGTACCAGGGGGGGGGAGGTCTAACGTACCCAAAGTTGCGAGCACGCGACAGGGGGGGTCTGTGGGGGCCCTCCCCCGAGAAATTTTTTAAAATTAGCGACCCCTCAGAATTTTCAGTTGTTCTGCATATGCGAGCTTAAAGGCATCTAATGAGGACCCGGTTCAGAGTAGCACCCTGGAACCCCCTCTCTCTCCAAATTACACGCACCCTTGCCATCTCAGGAGGGCGCGAAGGAAATAGCGAAACCAGGGCGAGGGAGAGGATCAAGCGACGCCGAGACGGGGGCAAATCGAGGGGGTTGTGCTTGCTCATCAATTACGCCAATTCGAGGGGGTCACTGGATTTTTAAGGTTAGGTGAGCGGATACGCTGGCGATTAGGGGAGGTTAGGGGAAGCGTGTGTGTTCACTTGATATAGACTCCCAGAGACGCAGAGGCAGAGATGAGATAGAGGATTTGCGAAGTAGTAATAGATGAGCGCACTAGAAGAGTAGGAGGAGAGAGGAGGGAAGAAGACGATGGAGAGTCATGTCCCTATATGAATTTCTGTGTGCAAACAAATGAGTGCCCGTGGGTTCTGTTCGCGTCTAGTAGGTGACGTTACTTATTATTTTTGTATAGGCCTTGTTCGTTTAAAATATATAGATAAATAAACGGTAGGTCTACGTTGTGTACTCACGTCCTTGTGGATCATCACTGACGTGCGCGGTCAGGGACTGCGCGCTCTACGGGGGGGTTCGGTAATTACAGATAACCCCACGTGAACCGCCCTCCCTGGACTAGCGTGACAGCTACACGATGTACTACGTTTACCGTTATACCGTACTATATATATAGACTACTATATATACTATATAGATGTGTGGGTGTGTGTGTGTTGCCTGGTTTCGATGTGAATGGTTGCGTTGCTGTGGTCGTGATAGATGTGTACGACTTCAGTCGACAAAAACTTTGCTACACTATCGACAACGTCATACGCCAATCGCGTAGCTTCATGCATAAAGCTATAGGTGATTAACTATCAGTATTTGTGTTAATATACACTACAGTTGTGTGTGTGTTGGCGGTTAGACGGAGTTCACTTCTCACACGGAATCCTTTATCCTTGGGCTTGAATCCTGTGTGGTAAGCATGTGGGAAGTAGCCTGAAAATTAGCCCACATATCGACATGACGTACATAAGCTAGTGTTTTAGGGCTGTTACGACGTTCAGGCAATTGCGTCAAGATGATTACTCTGGTTTTTATATTACTAGATCGGCTCCGTCACACGCAGTGGTATACTCAACCTTAATGAATTTTTGCCTATGGTCAACTCAATCTATACATATATATCTACACAAAAGTTACAGTCGTGTACATTCATTTCGAATATTTGGAATAATTTCTCAACACTGGCACTCCTTCCTTGGTTGTAACTTCAAACCTATTGGACTACTCTGTGATTGTCGAAATTCGTGGAAATCGCGGACTTGATGATTGTATTAAAATGACCCATTTGGATAGATATTCTGCTTACAGGTGAATATCCACTGTGGGCATGTGTATAAGTTATGGGTGATGGTAGTTGCAGTTGCATGTAATGATAGTGTTGCTCACTATCGCGTCTATGGTGTTATTGTATGTCAATCTATTATCATGTCGCTTTAAGATTTGTACATGCGCGCCGCGAAGCATAGGGTTACTAGACCTATATGCTTGCTTAGGCCAAAACAAAGACACAACAAACCCAAACGGCGATTTCAGAATGGATGTCCATCCGCCAATAAACACAACTCCAGAGTCCCGGCTCATCTAACTCGATTCTTGCAAAAGGTCCTAAAGACTTTTGCGCTCTTGTCGGGATTCGTTATATCAATTAATCATTAACAAGACAATAATGCCGTCATCGTATTCATATTCTAGCAACGGTTGGATCCAATAACGTGCAAGACAAAAACGTTGAATGGGCTTTAAATTAGCACGATTTACCGTGGCTAGCTCGACGAGGTGGGCATTCCATTACTGATCCACTCTGCTCGGGGGCCATCTACATTACTCGCCGCAACGCGCACGGTCCATGCTTTAATACGGTCCTGGTGCGCCGCGCGCGCGCTGCGCGTGCGCTGCTGTACCTGTGTCATGTGCTGTGTGGGTGTGTGTCGTGTGTGTGTGTGTGTGTGTGTGTTGTGTGTGTGTGCTGGGTGTTGTGTGTGTGTGTGTGTGTTGTTGTGCTGTGTGTGTGGGTGTGTGTGTAGCCACCGCGCGAATTCGTAGCGCGTCGAGGTTACTGCGGAAGTGGCGAGTCAGCAGCAGCACCAGTTGAGCACGCGCACGTCAGGCAGCACCCCCCTCCTGGCGATGTCAGTACAAGCAGCGCCACCAGCGAGACCTACATGTTACATGCTCGCGGAGGTATACACTCTCCGTGAGTGTCCTCTGTTAGACTTCTTATTGTCATAGTGGTACCAGGTCCCTAAATTATATACTATGTTGTTAAACATTTCCACTCACGACATTATGCTGTTCACCATAATATTTATTAACAGATGAAAATTAATCTACTCGGTGATTGTAGAGTCACATGTTCGTGATGCAAAATGACTTATCAAATTATTGATTGCTCTATCTCTCAACTAAGATATATAATGCAGAGCTCCAATCAATAAATATAGTGTTCCATCTTCTTTGGACACATATAAGTGAATGACACCAGATCGCCCACAAGCGCTCACTTGCCGACACGGGTGTTTGTGGGTCCTCATAGCATCAACCCTAGACTCCTATAACTTCGACAATCATCTGTGATGATGTGTGTGTGCTGACTCGAACTGGCAAGAGATTACGTCATCGTGTATATACAAAGCGCCGCTCGATGCATCGCGTCGATCCTTGTGCGTGGAGTGTGTGCCGTCATGTGCATGTATGTGTTGTATTGGTACGATGCGCGCTAGTGGTTGTGGTGTATGTGAATACACGTATGTGTTATATGTATTATTTACTGCGCGTAATACATTAACTATTATTCGTTGACAAGTACTAAGAACGTGCGAACACACGCACGTAACCTTAAGAAGAAATTTTACGACGTTTATGCGGCTTATGGACTAGTAAACGTAAATATTTAGAATAAACATTGCTCACTGGGCAATCTAGTATGAACAAGGACCAATACTAAAGGTGCCGCGCAATGATAGCCTATCATTCAGGAGAAAGACGTGCTATGAGGAAGGAGCGGACAAGCTAAACGTGTCTATAAACGCTAATATACCCATTTTGACGGTATTCTCGGATGCGTAACATACTCGATACGTGAAGCCCGATCTCGACGATCATTGACATATCGGAGGACTCAATCAGTGGATACCACAAGAATGTAAGAATATTTCACTGGTTTCCTCATTAGTCTGTAACGGTAGAATAGAATTCGGGCGGACGGTAGATTTTACCTTGATAGAAGGTCACGATAAATACAAGAGGCGGGTTGACTCGGAGACTAGTTGAATGTCCCACGACGAAAGAATCAATGATTTCGGCGTTCCTGCGACAGTGAATAACGGTTCGATATCACCGGCCACTCTAGAAACGGAGGCGGCGGGGGTTTTTCCCGAGGTTATTCCGACATTCGCAGATCGATTTAGCGAGTCCTGTTGCGGCCCCTTCTATCTCCCGCCACGCGTGTGGCGCTCCGCGCAGTGTGCTCACTATGAGTTGTTGGCATTTAAGTACTCATAGGACCTGCCAATCTCAAATCAGGCGCATTGAAATGCCGCGTGACGAAGGTTTGGAAGAGATCACAAATGCAGCATAATCTTAGTCAATAGAGGATGGCAGAGTGTGAGAGGGCAGAAGCCAGAGCCGCAGTGTCTATTATTTCTGTTCTGTGTGAACTCAGGTCGTCGTCGCGATGGCAGAACCGGGGATGGAGCGAGGAAATTCTATATGGATTGATGACATGGATATATTGGTGCTATATTGGTGGATGGGTGGTATGGATGGGTGATGGGATGGGATGGGTGGCATGAAATAAGATGGCGCTCTGAGAAGTGGGTA